GTATGAAAAATGACAAGATAAATTTTATTTTCAACATCAATGTCATATGAAACAATTTAATTTGATAGTTGATAAAATAAAAATTACTTTTGATTTTTTTCTCCATAATTAATGTTAAAAAGATACAATAAAAACACCTTTAACTTATACCCTAGGGCATGTTAGAAAATTCATTTGAAAAATCATCACTCAAATCACCAAATTGAGTTCACTTGGGGTAGAGTGAAGCTATTTAAAGATTTCAAAATTTAGCAAAAATAAATGGAAATAGTGCATATCAATTCCGATTTCTATTAAAAAAAATTAAAGTCCTAACTTTAAAAACATCTTTTAATGAATATTTTAAGAACCAACTATTGATTTGTATTCTATTTATATAAATCATTCATATTAATTTTTAAGTTTATCTACCATTTATAATTATTTGATGGAAAAACTTATATTTTTTAATATATATTTAATAGGACTAAATTTTATATAATTAATAAATTAGTTAGATATATTCAATTAATCTAAAAATTAACATAATTTATATAAATAGAAAAGTAAATCCAATAATAGATTTGTGAAAATATTTATTGGAATGTAGAGTTTTTGACATTGGAACTTCAATTGTTTTATGAGAATCGAGATTGACATGTACTATTTTCAAAATAAATTTAAGGCAATGAAAATTAAAAGAAAAATTATATAAAAATTTTTGTGGGTCTCTCAAATTTCAATTAGGTTTTCTATTAGAAAATTAAAAAGTAACCACCAGTAGCATTAGGCTTGCTAATTTAAAAACCTACTTTTGGTTCAAATTACCATTAGCATTAGGCTTGCTAATTTAAAAACCTCTTTTTTGCTTCAAATAAAAGGTTGGGATAATATTCAATATTTATGATAGAGGTTAAGGATTAAGACCTGTTTGGTATAGCGGTTTGGGAGTAGCGGTTAGTGGTTATGGTTTTGCCCAAATTGTTAATGATAGATATTTGGTAAATTTATTTATTTTAAAACTACTATAAACTAAATATTTGGTAAAGGTTTTTATTTAGCGTTTTAGAACTAAC